CCTCAAAGGCAAGAGATTCTCTCAGACTAGCAGACAAGAGATACAGGTGTCTCTCTCAGACAAGAGATACAGGTATCTCTTGTGTTTCAGTGACAATGAGAAAAGTACAGTTTCGTCATTGTCACCGAAACACAAGAGATACCTGTATTTGATTTATTCCCAGGCCTCGAGTTTAGAAGGGAGCTGACAGTATTGTTAATGACATGTAGCATGAGCAGGGAATCCTGCTTATATTCCCTGCACTGATTGCTCAGCAATGGTCTACTATTAGATATGGAGGTTGGCAGCCCTGCCTGCAGCAGGGGGGTTGGAACCTGATGGTCCTTGAGGTCTCTTCTAACCCAATCCATTCTGTGTTTCTATGGTTCCAGTGATGGTGAAATTTTAATTCTTAATTTTACATCCCATATGCAAGAAATGCACAGCAGAGACTCCATTCATTTTTTTTTCGAAGCGTCACTCATCTGAGCCATCTCTGCTTTAAAAAATGAAGTTGCCGTTACAGAAACCATACAAAACCGTTGTCAAGACTTCTATGAAATACTGTAGCGTCCTAATAATAACTTCTAGCTGAAAAATCTTGGCATCCTGCAGTTTAGGAAAGGGTTTTAAAATTCACCTTCAGTTTTTGGGCAATAGGCAAAACATGTGGCTCTGTTTAGGAGCTATTTTCGTTAAAGCTTGACAATACAGGATGATAAAATACAGCTGCATTGTTTAAACTTTCAATTTAATTTCTGGTTTCTGTCCAAGTTGTTTCATCAATATGGCGCCATTCATTTCAAAACAAAGCTCTTGGAAGTCTCTCCATTACCCCACCATTGATCAAGAGGGTGTTAAAATATAGTCCCTAATTATGTTCCTGGCCTGTTCGGAATTCCTAAATTGGATTTTTATAACTGTCAAATTTGCAATCAGGGTAACTTTCCATGACAATTAGTTAGAATTATTAGGGTTCCTGTTGCCAGCAAGTTATGACTAATGATGGTGTTTCACTTTTCAAGGCTCTGTAAGTATCAAAGGCAACATATATCTTGAAGAACAGCCATTTGACTACAGCGTTGTCTGTACTTAACTGCACCCAAATATCTACTACTGTTACAGTCATTTTTATCCTTTCTCCAAGGTTGAGTTGTTGCCACAACCTCTACTGCAGGCTCTGCAGATATAATTAACCGCTCAGTTCTGCCTCGTTGCAAAATGGGACTTAGGAAATCATGACATGAGAAAGTTCATCCCTGAGTATTTCTCTGGAGTCCAGCTCGGTAAGGGCCAGTACTCCAGAGGCTATTGATGAAGTTGCTGGTGGTCAGTTACTGCTTTGATTCTTTAAAATAAGCCAAACGTAACTGAGTATACAACCCATCTGGATGAATGCTGTCTCTTCTCAGTCTGACCCATACCTCACTTGCAGGTAAATCCATTACAAACAAATTCAAGGATGTGTTAAAACTAGCTGAGATGTCTACCCTATGCTCTCTTCCATGTAGACCAGACTTTTGGAGAGGCATGGTGCTTTAGCCTGAATGCTGTTGTGTGAATATTTGTGCTCACAAAGGAGCAGACACTTAAAAATAAAAGCTTTCTTTGCCTGATATGCAATTCCCATCCTTGGATATGCTTGAGGCCAGGTTGGACGCAGCCCTTATGAGCCTGGTCTAGTGGTTAGCAACCTTGCCCACATCAAGGAGGTTGGAACTGAGTAGGCTTTAAGGTTCCTTCCATCACAAGCCGTTCTGCGATCTATTTCAGAGGCATCCATCCAAGATGCAGATGATGTGTTGGCCTGTTGATGACAACAGATTCTTGTCATCAGCTTATAGCTTTAGATTGAGTACTAACTGCATTCATCTTTGCATTGGTTTCAGTAGCAGCGTTTGCTTAGAATTTACCCCCTCCACCATCCCTGCTGTTCCTGCCTTCAGTTAAGCTGAAAAAGTAATGGTACCTGGGGCCAATTTATCACCCCTTTTTCTAACCAGGAAGCCAGGTTCTGCCTTTTTCTTAGCCAGTGCCTAAGAACATCTCTGTGTCCCCTGGCATATATTGACCTGAACAGTGTGACCACTTCTGACAAGAGGGTCTGCCATAAGGCTTCACAGGTACAGGGTCCAAGTTGTTAAAGCTCCTAATCCTGCAGAAGGATTGCCCTTGGAGGAAGAAGGGCTGTAATCAATTCAGTTTAATTAAATCAACCTAAACTAATTATCAGCTAATAAAATAGTGTTGGTCAGCTCATAAAATAGAAATGAAGATTAAAAGAGTAGTTGCCATGAACAGGTGGTAACTCTGTTTCCAAGTTAGACTACATTATTCTCTGGCACAGGATCATCTGAGAATACCTCATATTTGAGTTTTTTTTAAAAAAATGTTTATGAAACTTATAAAATACAGGGCTCATTTTATAACCAATTTTCTATCTCACCTGCCAAGAGCAGTGGGGGTTGAGCCAGCACAAGGCGGATGCAGAGTTTTAGGCAACAATCCAGAAATGGATTCCCTGTGCAGGGCTGTGGGATGCATATCTACCTTGGCCTGGCCTTTCTTATTGCGTTTCTTGTGATTTTGTTTTCTTGTTGCTGTTGCAGAAAAGACCTCGTAAACATCTCGATGCCATTGATAGCCTGGCACTGTTGTGCAAAGGGGGAAACTTCCGATGCTGCTTTGGGGATGTGGTTTAACTCTAGGTGGATCCTGAGTTAATAATGGGATCCCTCCGAAGTTGGCCTTTGGTATTCTGTTGACTCTGCAGTTCTTGCAGAAGGCATAAAACATTAATCTAATTGTAACTGGTAAGGACTAAACTGGGATCATAATCTGCTCCTCAGAGTAGAGCGTGGTTGTTTGTAGTTGCTGTTAATGGTAGATTAATGAAAGAAAAATTTATTGCGTAGTGGTTATCGAGTTACTCTGCTAGCAGCACAAAGCTGTGTGGTTCTGAGACTTTTGTCATGGCTTGCACTTAGCTTCAATGCTCTGCACTGACGCAAGGCTTTCTGCATCAAAGCGATTTGCTGCACTAGCTGGGAGTTCCCTCTCATACCTATTTCTGCAACCACCAATTCCCCAAAATTCAGGTTGCAGTTTATTGCTTGTATAGAATGATAGAATTGTTTGAGTTGGAAGGGACCCTCAAAGGCCATCTGGTCCCACTCCCCTGCAATGAACAGGGGCACCCACAGCTCTATCAGAGTCCTTTCCAGCTTGACCCTGGCTGTCTGTAGGGATGGGGCACCCACCACAGACGCTGTAAGGCAAGATTAGATTTCTCTTCAGGACCAGTCCTCTTCTTTGAGGAAGAAGCACTCATACAAGCCTGTGGCTGCAGCGGCCATCTCACTGAAAATGGGATGCTCCAGGAAAACTCCCACCTAAGAGTTTCAGCTTGTTAGTGGGCAAGACAAATTCTGTGTGGCCTTGTAGCCTCCATAGCTTGTTTGGGGGGTTTGACCTGGCTTGAATCCACCTGGGTTCCTGATCTGAAGTATGATAAACATGACTTGAACCCACGTCTTGGCTTAAACCAAGGGAAAGTGTTCCTCACACTGAGAATCCTGTGAGGACCTTGGGGGCTGCTTCCCTTGAGATAGAATTTCTTTAAGAAAAAAGAAACAAGATAAGGTGTTTTCATTTGGGGCAGAAGTTTATGTCTCCTGTGCTTGATCCAGTGTTATGGAAACATTCACAGTCTGTGTCAGCTTCTCTCAAAGGACAAATTCAGGAGGAATGTAACACTGGTGTAAAACGTTGATCCTCCAAGGGGGTCTGTGTGGGTTTTAGTTGAATGTTGAGGGTGTTAAAGGACTTCCAGGCTTTGTCCAGATGTATGCTGGTGAAATTGCACCAACATCTCCCAGTCCTCCCAGTTAAGATTGCAGTAGGACAGTGAGCGAGCTTGCTGCTTGGCTCTCTAGGCACATGTGCAAACCCATCGGTGCCCCAAATGAACCAAAACCACACTCAGAGTAATTATCTGATCTTGTTTGTTTGTTTTTAATGCGATGTTTCTAGTCACTGGTACAGCAAACACGTTCTTGTGAATCTTGAAACGGTTGTTTGTAGTTTGCATCTTCAAGACAATTTTATGTGTGTAGATGAGGACTAATACAGGACACCGCAGTGTCACCATCATCTGCCAGTGCTGTGGGAAATGCCTGGTACCAAGATGACTTCCTTAGCTTGTTTAGCAGTTTTCTTTTTCCTTTTTTGCCCTTCTCTGTGAGAACACATAGATAGTGATACGCTTGTCTGTTGTGCTTTCCAGATGAAAGTGCTTTGTGGTCCACAGACTTAAATAGTTAAGTCTTTGCAGACCTCAGGGTGGTTTACAAAGGCAGTTGCAGTCATCATCACACAGAGACAGAGAAATCTCTAGAGGTGAGGTAACTATAGGCTGGTCCTGCAGAGCTGGGGGCAAACCTGCACCTCTGGAGCATGCTCTGCCTTTGTGAACATCAGGAGAGGCTGCTGTGTACACACTGCCCAAAACCCTTTCCCCTTCCCGAGTGATTCCTTTTCTTGCTGGCACAAACTTCGGTTTTGGCACAGCTGCAGTGGCTGGGAGGGTGCAGTGCTCTCTTCCCCATGGCTCAGCTCTCCCTCCTTGTTCCTGGGGCTATAGCCTATAGCATGCAATTGAGGCAGGGATTGCCCTTCTGAAAGCAAAAAACAAATCCCAAGCTCCTCGTACGCTCAGCCAGGGTGGATTGCTGAAGCCTGTATCATTCAGGAGGCATTCTTGTGCTTAAATTTTTTTTGGAAGCATCATTTCCAGTAAAGCATGGGGCTTTTTTACAGACTCGTTTCAGCACTTTGAGAGCATGAGTGTGCACACCTGCGCCTTGCTGTGGGTAGGAAAGGGTTAAGACCCAAATAAGCAGGGAGGGTGAAGGCAAGTTTCACTCCCCAGGCTGAATAAACTTTTTCTTTGCTGAACTGATGCTGCACAGGGTGAGGGTTTCACCTGTCCCCAGTGTTAATTGCCTCTTCTGTCCCTGCAGGTTCCCTGGGCCGCCAGCACGGTCGCTCTTCCAGCCAGGACCGTAAGTGGGCAACTTGAACATCAGGGAAAAGCAGAACCCAGAGCAGAGCGGGGGCTGGAGGAGCCAGGGGTACCCACTGCTTGTAGGGGAGGTATTGGGGAGGGGGCTGTGAGTCTCTGCCTGCTTTGTGCTTCTCCTCCTGCAACTAAAGCTTCCCATCCTGCTTTCACTGACCAGATTGTGCTCCTCATCCATCTTTGAGGAGTGAGGAGTGCCGTAAAGCAGGGATCAGCTTCCTTCTTGAGGTGATGCTGCAGAGCTCTTGGAGGGGAGATGGCTGTGACCCTGTTTGCAGTGCAGGCTTATATAAGGAGCCAGCCGTGGTGGCCCTGGTGTCTCCTCATGTCTGTGAGTGTTTCTGTGACATTGGTGCTGGTGTCTCTGATCTGCCCCCCCTGGAGAAGCTGAGATGGTTTTAAAAGTTGAAAGTGGACTGGCAACAAAGCATTGCCTGTTGCTGCAGGACTGTGTGCCTCTGAGCTGACATGGTGAGCAGCTTGGAAGCTGGTACATGTGCAGAAATCCAAGCAGGGTTTTCAACTAGACTTGTCAATCTCCATTGATGGTTAATGGAAAAGCAGCAGGGATTCACGCAGCAGTCTTTGTACCTGATGGCCATGTGCAGGTTTTGTGGTAAATGAAAGTCATGACAGTGCCAAAGCTGCACATGTGCTGAGCAGACAGATTGCTCCAACAAGGCTGGTTTTGTGAGAGAAGGCATATGGTGAGGAGATGGAGAGCTCGTGTTGATCTGCCTCTTTACCGAGTCTGCATTCAGTAAGGACCCCAAAGTTGTCTCACAGTCCATAAGCTCCAGCGAAGCCTTAAATCAGGACAAGCTTCTGTCTCTCTGCTCCTTTTGGAGATGTGCTTCATGCCTGAACTGTAGCTCCTCTCTTCGTGTGCTCTGTGGATGTTACTGAACGTGCTCTGAGCCTCATTGACTATGGCTGCTCAGCACAGAATTGGTTCATCCTGGGGCAGCCAAGCGGGGCAGGGTGGGCAGCATGCAGACCCATGTCCCCTGGCTGGGACCCTGAGACTGGAAGTGCCCAACACCCTTCCCATTCTCCAGGTCCTTCCTTGAAGTTGTACCAGGAAAAACTGTATCTGTGAGTCTGAGGTGACTGTGTACTATTCTGCTTACCACTACCTTGATACTTTTCAGCCTTCAGAGGTGCATTGTCCCTAATGTGCCTGGGACTTGCTTACTGAGGGCTGGGGGGGGGGGAAGAGGGGAGGTAACTATTTTACAATGAAATGTGCAGGAGATATTCCACTCCTTCCTTGTGCAGCATGGGTTTAATGTTGGCACCAAGTGGCACGAAGATTCCTTCTCCTTTTTAGAAGGAAACATACCAGATAAGTAGAGAGCAGGTATGCTGAGGATGGGAACCCTGTAAAATCAGCTTCTTCCACATTCAACTTTTATTAACTTTGATATAAGCAGCACCAAGAGGGAATAATGGAAAGCTGCAAATTAGGTCTGCTGTAGAGATCTGGCTGCAGATGTTTTACTGTGTTTTCAAGCTGAAGAAATTGAGAATTTTTTAATGTAAGTGTCTGGATTTTTTCATGGGCTTTTTCTACTTCTCGGTGATCCCAATCCCATCATCTTGAGAGTGTCACTCCAGGCATCTTGCCCACTGCCTTGGGTCAGGCAGGAGGATAACGTGGTGCTGTGCTTACATGCTTACATACTGGAGGTGCTTCAGAAGTGTGAGCTGCTGCTGTATTTCTAGAAGGTACGGAACAGGCTGCCTGTTTTCTCTAACAATATGGTGTTCCTCATAGGCTCATAAGCTCTACAGCACAGAGAGATCTGCAGATGCTTCTGGCCACACTCAGTAATGTAAACCCTACCCAAGGTGGGTGTCTCAGCCTGGTGTTTCCTATTGGCTGTTTCCAAGTGTTCAGTCCATCAGAAACTTCTCTTTCAGGGACTGAAGTGGAATTTAAAGTATCTGAATATAGTCCTCTGTGTCAAATCAAATGATTTGTTAAAGTGAGGCCAGATTTGCAGGGAGAATCAATCTTTTTTATTAGATCAACTGATGTGGAAAAAGCAGACGAACATTCAGGCGTATTAACCCTTCTTCTGGTCTGCAGTTGTGTTACAAGAACGGAGGGAGCAGGCTGCCAGAGGAGGCTGTACTTCAGGATGTGCATTCAGACAGCCTTGGTCTGAGCGCAGACCTGGGTGGCATTTTGGGGCATGCCTGTGTGCTTTTTTGGCAGATACAAGACTCGTGTCCCTGTGTGTTTGGACACTAAATGTTACCACACAACAAATAATAGGCTCTGCTCTGCAGCTGACTCATTGTACAAGTCTGGGGCTAATTACTGAATCCCTCCGTGCCTCCATTTTCATCTGTAAAATGTCACAGATGCCCACCATTCATAAATCGCTTTCAGATTTCCAGATGAGGTGCTGTGTAAGTGTAGAACAGCGTTAGTTTATACATATTGTGCTGGAGAATAATAGAAAACACGTGTAAGAGCCTCACAGATGTGTCTCTTTCCACTGCAAAAGGCAAGGCCTGGGCTGATTTAGCACAGCACTAATTGGGCTAAAATAGGAGATTGCTCTTATTCTGATGCAGTTGTCACCGTTAACATCCTCATTTACCAACAGCTTTTGGAGATATCCCAGTTGTTTCCCATTGAGGAAAGCTGTAGCATTTTGGGTGTCAGAGCACAGCAATTCATAGCAAACGTTCCCATCTCTGTAGCACACCCCACACTGGCTTCTGGAAGGGACTGTGCCATAGTTTGTTTTAAATGTGCATCTTGCCTTTCCTGATGCTGCTGCCTGAAACCTCCGGGACGCTTCCTCATCTCTGAGCAGAGGCATTTGACCGAGTCACTACTATTGCTGTTACAGAGTGTTGCATACGCAGGAATCCCCATTTATTGATAAGAAAGCTGTTCCTGTGGCTGCGAGCGAATGAGAGCCTGGCAGCTGTTCAGCATGAAGTCAACTTGCAAAGTTTAAAGGATTTGTAGGCTGTGATGGTTTGGGTTCAAGCGATTAGCTTGGGTGAAGTGCTTGAGAGTGTCTTCCAGAGACCTTTCATGTAGAAGGATGAACGCAAGCAGTTAAGAGATTTGATTTAAATACCCTCATGTTTTCTGATTGCACTGCTGGGGCTGAACTCTCAGTGGCTGTAAAATCTGGGGGCATTTTTGGCTGAGGGAGAACTCTGCTTGCGTGAAACTGAGACGTGCCAGCGTCACCCCTGATGCCAGAGGTGGTGGGCACCAGTGACCAGGCTCTGTGCCTCTCCATCCTCTGGCTGCGTGACAGTGTAGCCCTGATGGGAGCTTATTTTCCAGTGTATTGTTGCTCAGGGATAGTGCTTGGTGCTGCTGTAGGAAGGTACGGGGTGGGGTGGGTTCCCTGCAGATGAATCGTGCCATTCTGCTGTTGTCCGGTTTGGACTCGGAGGCTCTGTTTTCCGTGTTCCTCATCCCTGCTCAGAGAGATGTTCAAGATTCACTCCCGAATCTTCCACAGCTGTCAGGATGACACAACACTGGGGCTGAGCACATGTGACAAGCATGAGAGGCTGACAGATGGCCTTACCCACTGCTTGCCACGTGCCAGGAGAAATCTTCCCTGGCATTGGGCCTCCATTTCTGAGTCTAAATGTGCCATTTTTAGGAGAATTTCAAGGTGAGGGCAACCACCGACAGAATGTCTGATAGGATACACGTGTGAGTTCTTGTTACCAAGTAGATATCAAAAGTCAGATTGAGCACAAATAGGCACATGGTAGATAAGGGCTTGGTTGTACCAGGAAAGGTGTGGACGCTCAGGTTGGTGAGTTTGGAGTTAAAGAAACAGGGTGAAGGAATTCTGGAAAACGTTTTGGTTCAGCACAGCATTATGGATATTTTCTGTTTTTTTTCCATCCTAAAGTCAATTAGGAATGTAGCCTGGCACAGCCGTTTTGAAGCTGAAAATGAAACATGCCTGGCTGACCCCAACAGGATATCTCCTTCACTCATTTTTCTTCATCCAGAAGTTACCATTGAAACAAAACAAAACAACGTAGTCCTCTGTGCAATGTTGTGCTAGCCACTAATCAGAGGCAATTATTACCTTGTTCCTCCTCTTACGAGGACCAGATGATATTGGGATCTCTGGGGCTGTGGACTCCCTTGTGTCCCCAAGGGCTATGTCACAGCTGCAGAGATGTGAAAGGTATTCCTTGTCCTGCTGCTTGGATCTGTGAGGACCACTGCGGGGCTCAGAGGGGTTTTGATGAAGGCTAGCAAAGGGTAATTGGCAGAATTGGGCAGAGAAATGATCCTCAAGAGGCTGAGAATCTGGTAGGACTGGGTGGAGCCATTTGCTCGGCCGTGATGGGTGCTTGTGTGCTGCGTGGGAGAGTAGGAGTGGGCTGAAGGATGCCAGTGCCAAATGTGCTGGATGGAGAAGTGGTGCATCCTAAATGTAACATGTTTATGGGATGCAGGGACTTTTTGCAGAGAGCAGGCATCTAACCCTAGACGTGTCTTTATTCCTTGCAGTCTGAAGTGTAGTAAAACTCAAAGCAGAGGTAGAACTGATGTCAGTAATCCAAACTGGCAGCGAGATGCATATTTTCAATACAGTGGTTAGCCTTGGATGCAGTTTGCAGAGGAAACCTAGGCTGTCTGGCTCTAAAGCATCTCTCTGAGAGACAAAGTCCAGTTAACATACATAGTTTGGCTCGGGACCGTGAGAGATCCCCGACCTACAATGCACAGGTGTGGGGCTGACATTGCAGGAGTCCCTGCAGAGCTTGTGGTGAGCCTCGATTCTTTTCGTCCTGTCTGCTTCCTTGTTTCATGTTACACCACACCACATCTTGACCGTGTTTTTCCCCCCATCACTTCTCCCAGCAGGGATGGAAAGCAGCCTCTAGACGTGAGAGTCTCCCAGTTACGGGGTGAGTTTGCAGGGCTGTACAATTCTGCACTTGGATTGGGGTCAGTGAGGCATTAAATGTTCC